TCATCCTAGAAGGTGTGCTACACCATTGGCATTTGGCAAGCACTGCTCGTATTAAATATAACTCTTTTTATTACCATAATAATCAGTTTCTTATTACGTAGATATGTGAAGCCTGGGAAGGCCAGAGGCCACAAATCATCATGTCTATGCATGAAAGCTCTTTCAAGAAAACATAGATGCACGGATAGGGATGGCAACGGGGCGGGGAGTATACACCCCGTCCCCGGCCCCGCTACCTCGTCCCCGTTCCCGTCCCCGTCCCCGGCGGGGATTTGGAAATATTCCCCGTCCCCGTCCCCGCGGGGAATTAGGCGGGGACGGGAATTCCCCATTCCCCGTCAATTCCGAGTCAAAATGTTAAATAATTATAATTTTTAATAATAAATAATTTAAAAACTAAATAATAATTTCAAAAATTAAAATGCTATATATATATATATATATATATATATATATATATATATATATATATATATATATATATATATATATATATATATAGTATGCTGCATGTATATGTTGTATAGTGCAATACTGGTATAGTATACTACATGTATATGTTGTATACTTGTATAGTGCATTACAGCCAGTAGCAACATTATGTTAATTATATATATAGTTCATTACATATATAAATGGTATGTATATTACAGTGCATTACTGCTAGTGGCGACATTATGTTAATTATATATATATAGTTCATTACATAATTATATGCCAGTATATATACATATAATTATTCGGGGACGGGGCGGGGCGGAGAGGGGTATCCCCGTCCCCGTCCCCGTCCCCGACGGGGAATCACACATATTCCCCGTCCCCGTCCCCATTCTCCGAAAATTTTCCTCATCCCCGTATTCATCGGGGCGGGGATCGGGGATCCCCGTCGGGGACGGGGCACATTGCCATCCCTATGCACGGACACACATACAAACACACGCAGGCAAACATATTAATTAATAATTAATTGGCTAATAAAGGTAAAGGGATAGGCGAGGAGCAATAAAAATTTCAACAGGTGTGCCTTTGAGGTTGCTTAGTCCAGCCGTCTCAGTCATATCAATTGCTCCATTAGAGATATTTGAAAGCTCAAAAGAATGCAACAGATTAGCCAAGACCAAGTGCAAAATCTGAAGAGCACTAGTTGTTCTTGGGCATATTCTTTACGGAATCAACTCGAAATCCCGTCCCAAAACATCAATCTCCTTATTGCAATTGATAAATCTCTCAGGTTTGAATTCAAGAGGGCTAGACCAAACTTGTGGATCTCGTTGAAGTTTCCATATATTGAAGAATAGCCAAGTGTCTTTTGGAACATGAAAATCGGACATAATGGTGCAATCTTTTGTGAATATTCTTGAAACTCCAAATGGACCACCCGGATACAATCTAAATGTTTCTTTGACAATAGCTCGAAGATAAATCAAATGATCAATGTCTGATTCATTCACCTTTCTTTCCTTGCCAACTACCATGTCTAATTCATCTTGAGCCATCTTCAATACATGGGGATGGTTCATTATCAAAGACAAAGCCCATGTTAGCATGACCATGGGCGAATCTGCTCCTCCAGCAATCAAAACCTTGATATACATACAAAAGTTAAATAGTTGATAAAAATTGTGTATTTGATATATATTCAAGAATAAAATAATTTGATAAATCAAGAGGACATATATACCATGCAAGTAGATTTGACCACGGTGTCAGCACTGCAACCATTTAGATCAATCTCTTCTATTCGTGACAGCATAGCATCTATGAAATCTTGATCCACATTTTGATCCCACGAGTATTAGTAAAATGACAATTTTGATCCACATGTTTAATTCTTAGTTTTCAACCACGACTATTGTTTTAGTGTCAAAATTCATCATACCGGTCACTCTTTCGTTTCAGACATGCTGAAATATGAAATTATTAAGGGTATTTCGTCCTTTTCAAATTAATAACCCAATTTGATCATAAATAAAAGGATTTAAGCTCTAAAATCTATCTCAATTCGTAATTTTCCTCCTTAAATTAAGGTAGGATGAGAAAGAAAACTGCAAATTGGATCGATCTTAGGACTTAAATCCCTTTATTCATACCCAAATTGGAATCTTAAGTTGAAAATGATGAAAATGCCCTTAAATTTTTTAGATTTCAACATGTCTTAATTGGAGTGGTGATCAACGTGATGAATTTTGGCACTAAAAAATAGTAAAATTGATACTAAAACAATAGTAGTGGATGAAAATTAGTATGAATATAATTAAACATATGGACCAAAACTGTTATTTTATTAATACTCGTGGGAGCAAAATTTGTATTTGCTCTACTTATGTGTATGCTCGGCTAATTTGCTCTACTTATGAGTATGCTCGCAGCCGACAAAATGGAGCCTAGTCCACCTAAGTTAGGTGTACAAGTATATAGCTATAATATTGCGTATTTTCCATTTGGATAACATCAAAATATTGCGATTTTTAATGAGATTCGAAAAATCTAAGCTAATCCAATCAAATAAGGGCATTAGCATGTCTGTAAATCAGCAACCTAGCTAATACGTTGTGGTGTTCTAAAATCAAACAAACATGATTTGCGTGATAAAATATATTATTGTTTTTTCGTTTTATTCCTGTTTTACGAAAGCTATAAATATCCCTATATAATATAAGTATAACCCATCCATTAAGCCGCAGTGATAATTTAAAGAAGAGCCAAATATGGAACTCCTCAAATACCTTAACCCGTCCATTGTTGTCGTAGCAATTGCTTTGTGTGTAGTTATTCATTATGTGTCTCGCAATGCCATGTCTCGGAGAAGAAGATTACCGCCGGAAGCAGGTGGCGCGTGGCCAATTGTAGGCCACCTTCATATCTTCAGCGGCTCTAGCCTTCCTCATATTGTCCTAGGAGATATGGCTGACAAGTATGGACCCGTCTTCACTATTCGGATCGGTGTGCATAGAGGTTTGGTGGTTAGCGACTGGAAATTGGCCAAACAACTCTCAACGGCCCACGACGCTCACATTTCTTCTCGTCCCCAGTCTCGAGCCGCCAAACACTTGGGCTACAACAGCTATTTGCTTGCTTTGACTCCCTATAGTCCCTACTGGCGTGACCTTCGCAAACTTATTTCCATAGAACTGCTCTCCACTCGACGGCTTGAACAGCTGAAGCACATAAGAGTGGCCGAGGTCGAGAACTCTATAAAGGAGCTCTATAAGCTTTGGATTGAAAACAACAACCCGGACCATTCCGGGCATGTTTTGGTGGAAATGAAGAAGTGGTTCGGAGACCTAACACTCAACATGGTCCTTCAAATGGTGGTCGGAAAACGAATCTTTGGTACCGATGAAAAAGAGGGGCGACTTTGCCAAAGGGTGGTGAGAGATTTTGTTAAATTTCTTGGGATTTTTGTACCGGCAGATGCCCGGCCTTTTTTGGGATGGCTGGATATTGGAGGGTGTGAGAAATCTATGAAGAAAGTTGCTAAGGAAATGGACTCTCTTGCTGACGAATGGTTACAAGATCACCGTCGGAAGAAAGAGGCGATGGGTGATGGATATACTATCTGTGACGGCGAGAAAGATTTTATGGATGCGATGCTTTCACAAATAGAAGGGATTGATCTTAATGGTTGTAGTGCTGACACCGCCATCAAAGCTACTTGCATGGTATATGATTTATGTTTATCAAATTATCATTCCTAAATTTAAGCCTTTCACGTATACTTAATGTAATATGAAATATTAAATTTTGTATATCAGAGTATGATTGCTAGTGGAACAGATACGGTCATGGTAGTGTTAACATGGGCTTTGTCTTTGATGATGAACAATCCCCATGTGTTAAAGATGGCTCAAGAAGAACTGGACATGGTAGTTGGGAAAGAAAGAAAAGTAAATGAATTAGACAACAATAATTTGATTTATTTGCAAGCTATTGTCAAAGAAACATTAAGGATGTATCCTGCAGCTCCGTTGGGAGGTCCAAGAATATTCACAGGAGATTGCACAATATATGGTTTTCATGTTCCAAAAGAAACTTGGCTATTCTTTAACATGCATAAACTCCAACGAGATCCACAAGTTTGGTCTAGTCCTCATGAATTCAAACCTGAGAGATTTATTAATTGCCATAAGGAGGTTGATGTTTTTGGACGAAATTTCGAGTTGATTCCATTTGGTATTGGTAGAAGAATATGTCCAGGAACAACTTTTAGTCTTCAAATGTTGCACTTGATCTTAGCCAATTTGTTGCATTCCTTTGAGCTTTCAAACGTCTCTCATGTAGGAATTGATATGACTGAGACAATTGGACTAAGCAACCTCAAAGGCACACCACTTGAAGTTCTCTTAGCTCCTCGTCTCTCCGCTCATCTCTATTAGTCAATCACACATGTAATGAATATATGTCTTTTTTGGCGCATCTAATTAATATGTGTGTCTGTGTTTGTATATTCACTAGAAAGTGTTTCCATGAATCCATGGACATCATGATTTATCATATCTCTGTGGCCTATATGAAAGGTAACTTTCAACACAACTATATAAAATTAATACACATAGATAGTTTGCAGTCTCATCACAATCATAAGCCAAACAAAAAGATATAGCAACTCAAAATCTATTATAAGCTCTATTATTTTCAAGCAAATCAATATACTACAAATTTACTAAATAATTGAACAACAACAAAACTACATTATGCAAATATTAAAGCTACCAAAGGTGCTTTTTCTGTAACATCAAAACATCTTGTGGTTTTGAATGCGATTCCACTAATTTAAGCTAATCCATTTAAATAATTAAAGACATCAGCATCTCAGTATATCAGCAAGTTACCTCTCATAGGATGTTTGTACTCTGCAAAGAATTATGAAACCAGTTGAATAGTTTATGGTGTTTAGGAATCAGTATAAATATGTATATGCTTTAGTCAAACAAAAGATGATTTAAATTATTTATATACCACATACACATGCATCTATATGGGCTCCTTATACACAATCTGTATAAGGGCTAGCAGACAAGCAGTCATTTTCTATCTTCTGATCAACACACAAAAAACTGCAGTGCCTAATTTTCATGGCCACAATAAACTGCGGCGGCTAATTTTCTGTAAAGATATTAGTCAGTTTAGATCCAATCAAATATAGAAATGCTTACACCCTATGGCACAAATATATAGATAATCACACATCAATTAATCCACACACCATAACCATGGAATTTGTTCTCCAAAACCTGGATACTTCAGTTATTGTTGTAGCTGTAGCTATTGCTTTTTATATAGTTTTTCATTATCTTTCTCACAATAACAGGTATCGGAAACAAAAATTACTGCCTGAAGCAGGTGGGGGATGGCCAATTATAGGCCACCTTCACATCTTCAGCGGCTCTAAGCTTCCTCATGTTGCCCTGGGAAACATGGCTGACAAGTATGGACCAGCCTTCACTATCCGAATCGGTGTGCAGAGAGTCTTGGTGGTCAGTGACTGGAAATTAGCCAAAGAACTCTCCACTGTCCATGATGTTCACATTTCTACTCGACCCAAGTTTCGAGCTGCCAAACACTTGGGATACAACTACATAATGTTTGCTTTCACTCCCTATGGTCCTTACTGGCGCGACGTTCGCAAACTTATTTCCACAGAACTACTCTCCAACCGAAGGCTTGAGCAGCTCAAGCACATAAGAGTGTCTGAGATTGACACCTCTATAAAGGAGTTGTATAAGCTTTGGGCTGAAAAGAAAAATTCTGAACTTTCTGGCTGTGTTCAGGTGGAAATGAAAAAGTGGTTCGGAGACATAACACTTAATGTGTTCCTTCGAATGATAGCCAACAAACGATACTTTGGTACAGCAGAGGTTAGTGATGAAAAAGAGGGGCGGCGTTGCCAAAGAGTATTGAGAGATTTTTTTCACTATCTCGGGGTTTTTGTCCCAGCAGATGCCCTACCTTTTTTGGGATGGTTAGATATTAGAGGGTATGAGAAAACCATGAAAGAAGTTGCTAAAGAAATGGACTCTCTTGTTGATGAATGGTTACAAGAGCATCGTTTGAAGAAAGAGGCCACAGGTGATGGGTCTACTATTAGAGGCAGCAAGGAAGATTTCATGGATGTGATGCTTTCACGAATTAAAGGGATTGATCTTAATGGTTTCAATGCTGATAGTGTCATCAAATCTGCTTGCATGGTATGTACTCTTGGTTTACCAAATTATCATTCCTAAATTTAAGTCCTCCATGTGTACTTGAAATTAAAAATAATACATATAACTTTAATTTATATCATGTATCTAATTCACAGTTTTCTTTAACTATATCAGAATTTGATTGCTGGAGGAGCAGATACGACCTCGATCATGCTAACATGGGCTCTATCTTTGATGATGAACAACCCCCATGTGTTAAAGATGGCTCAAGAAGAACTAGATAGTGTAGTTGGCAAGGAAAGAAAGGTAAATGAATCAGATATCAAGAACTTGGTGTATCTCCAAGCTATTGTGAAAGAAACATTTAGGATGTACCCAGGGGCTCCACTAGGAGGCCCAAGAATGTTCACAAAAGATTGCATCGTATCTAGTTTTCATATTCCAAAAGACACTTGGTTGTTCTTTAACCTGTGGAAACTCCAACGAGATCCACAAGTTTGGTCTAGCCCTCGCGAATTTAAACCTGAGAGGTTTATTAATAGTCATAAGGACCTTGATGTTTTGGGACAAGATTTTGAGTTGATCCCATTTGGTGCCGGTAGAAGAATATGCCCAGGAATAACTTTTGGTCTTCAAATGGTGCACTTGGTGTTGGCTAATTTGTTGCATTCTTTTGAGCTCTCATATGTCTCTAATGAAGGAATTGATATGACTGAAACAGCTGGACTAACCAACCTCAAAGCTACACCACTTGAAATTCTCATAGTTCCCCGCCTCTCCCCTAATCTTTATTAGTCAACCACACATTAATATGTATGTGTGCATATATCTATTCATACATGTATAATACCATACAGTGTAGATATTTATGCATTTGTCACTGCCAGAATATTTTGAAACTAATGCACAACATATGAATGTAACAACTATATAAAATGCTTCTTTCATGGACATGATCATTTATCAGATCTTTGTGGCCGGTACAAAAGGTAACTTCTAATCATGTCAGTTCAATTAGTATATCAAACTAATGGTTGATTGTTGGCTATATTTGATTTTCATAAAACATACAGAGACTTGTTATTCAACTCTTAACTATACATACCTGTTTCTTAAAGACTTTTTTTTTTTTCCGAATATGGTAAGCAATCTCACTCACAGTAACTCAAACCTAATCTAAGTTCTCTTATTTTAGACAAAATCAATAAAGTAATACGAATTTACCAAATAAACAAACAATGAAAGAGAATAAATTTATAAATAATCCGAATATTATAACAAAAATAATAATTTTCAAAAAAAAAAAAAAAAAAAAAAAAAGGAGAGTAAATAGGGTAAGTAAGAGAGAACCTCCGGAGGTGCATAGCATCCAGGGATTCTGGAAAAAAAAAAATCAATATCGAAAGGCATATCGACAAAATGGGAGCTGAATCCACTCTTCCTCGCACTGGTCACGCTCGACAAATTCTTCCAAATCAACCATATTAGAAGCGGAAAACATAGAAAGAAAAATGGTGAAAGGAATTAGAAGGCAAACAATAAGAAGAAAAAGGCCAGATTTGGTCTCACAAGTCATCCTGCAACCGGCGTTACGAAGAGCTAATTAATGAAAGAGAGAAATGTCGGGGACTCGGGGAGAGATAAGAACATTAAGTAGTAGTTGTGTGAATGTTAAGTGACATGAATATTTCAATTTTGTAAGATGCATGTATACAGTAGACTATAGTAAGTATAAGTTACATGGTTTCTCATATGTTTGCAGCAAAATATGTAATACAAACAGTTATCTATTGGTAAATTATATTATGGGCCAGGATTCAACTTGAATTGTGGACTATGATTCAAAATGACATTCGAATTATATGTGTATATTAACATATGATGTACATGTTGATAACAAATTATGTGTTTTTAAATAAATTATAGGCACATAATATGTTAACTGCATGACTGCATATACATGGACATATCCCGAAATAAGAGAATAGACAACCCCAAGAAATTGATAAATGAACTAAAAATAAGAATGAGAAAAAACAATAGAGTCAAATAAAGGAACAAAGCACAACAGGACAATAGGTCAGCAAGAAACAAATCAAGACATTTTTTGTTTGTTTATTTGCTTTTACAGGTGTCGACGTGTCGTGGTCTCAAATTAACAACTATAAGTCAAAGTGGCGGAAAAAAAAAAAAAAAAGAAGAAACATTTAAGATATTACTGCATTTTTATTTTGTTTTGAGCACTATTGATTCTATTACAAGAAAATTAACGACTATAAGTCAAAGTGGCGAAAAAGAGAATTTAAAATATTATTGCATTTTTATTTTGTTTTGAACACTATTGACTTTATTAGAATGATAGTATCTGTTCTATATTTTCTCTAACAATTGTAACACAAATAGTCAATTCCCCTTCCACACCATCAGGGTTCGATCCTATGACATCCCCTCAAGAAGAGCCACAGATGTGACATCTGAGTACAAAGTGCTTGACTTGTATTTTTATTTAAACATTATAAATTATAAAATTTTCATTGTCAATAGTAACTATTTATTATAAAAGATCGTTTAACAAAAACTAATTATACTCATGTAGTGACTCTTCCATATGGGATGTCATGAGATCGAGCTTCAGTAGAGGCGGCGTTGACTCCATGTGCTTCAACGGGTTGAGAAAGTGTATATGAACAGATACTACAATGTAATAAGTCAGTAGTTTTCAAAAAAAAAAATCCATAATAATAAAAATAATCATGTGTTTAATTTTACTTACACTTTCTCGATTGAGCAAATCACATTAAATATTCTTCATGCGATTTACAGAATTTACATTGTATATAATATCATGTAATGAGTGTAGTATGTATGTATGTGTTTGTATGTATGTGTGTGTGTCTGTGTATGTATGGTCGTCACTTGAAAGTGCTCTCACGGACATGCATGATGATTTATCATATCTCTGTGGCTTGTATGAAAGGAAATATTGCCCAAGGTTAATATCCACTAAAAGGGTTTGCTATTCCTATTAATTACTACGTTACCCAAAACTGTATTTTAGACTTTTTTTTTAATGGATAATGTGTAATTTTCTAGAAATTAACTCGATATATATATATATATATATATATATATATATATATATATATATATATATATATATATATATATATATATATATATATATATAATTTTCTACTTGAAATTATTAATTATAACTCTTCATCTTTCTACTTGTCTTTAATGTGCTTTTATATATGTCCATGTAATCAAAACACATTTAAAAAAAAAAAAAAAAAAAAAAAAAAAAAAAGTCAGTTGCACTAGAAAAATCACTTATGGCGGAAGCAAGAATTGAATCTGTAACTGTTAGATATATTAAATATAATATATTTAATATAATATATATTAAATATAATATAATATATCTATAATATATATTAAATATAATATATTTATATATTATATTTATATATTGAGAAGAGAGAGAGAGAGGAAAAATAACTCTTTGAATTGATGATTAATGAATGAACAATAGTAACCTATTTATACTAAAAGATAACCACTAATAAAGCTAAAGACTAGGAGTAATGCTCCATGTAAAGCTACAATTAAGGCCACAATCTATGTAGTGATACCATGCATAACCCACCTACTGCATCCATGCATTATTCATAACAAACTAATTTAATACTTGGTTTAACCATTACTAATAATAATAATATTATTATTATTATTATAACATTGCCTCCTTTAAACCAAGTTGGATATATTGGTCATCCCAATTTCCTTCTTCAATTTAAAAAATGTCTTCGTCTTCAAGTTGGATATACTGACTTGTATTTCGTTCTGTGAAGCCACTTGACTCCAATTGACTTCTTTTCAGGAGGTAATTCTGTTAATTCCCGGGTACCATTCTTTTCAATGACACGTATCTCTTCACTCATCGCCTTAAGCCAATGAGTTTTTGTACCAGCCTCCTCAAAGGATAAAGGGTCACAATCTGCAAAAAGAGCAAATTGAACAATATCTTCATCCGACATATCATTATATTGACCCAAAACATAATCCTGCAAGCGAGCTGGTAAGTGGCGCTCGCGTTGTGATCGTCGAACTGACGACTCTGGCTGTGAAGGAGACTGGACATTATCTGGAATCGGTTGCTCTTCAACAATATTTTCAACAACAGGAATAACAACTGAACTTTCATCTTTAGCTAACCAATCCCAGGCACCATATTCATCAAAAGTGACATCACGACTTATAACAACCTTTTTAGTTTCAGGATTGTAGAGTTTATAAGCCTTTGAAGCGTCACTATAACCAATGAATATGCACTTCTCACCTTTATCATCCAATTTCTTTCTCAATGGATCTGGCACATGTGCATATGCCAAACATCCAAAAACCTTAAGATTTCTTATAGAGGGTTTCTTCCCACTCCAAACTTCCTCAGGTGTCATATCACAGACACTCTTAGTTGGACACCTATTCAACACATAGACAGCACAAGCAACAGCTTCTGCCCAAAAAGGTTTAGGCAGATTCTTGGATTTCAACATGCACCTCACCATATCCACGATAGATCTATTCTTCCTCTCAGCCACTCCGTTTTGTTGTGGAATGTATCTAGCTGTCATCTGATGTTGAATACCCTTCTTCTTCAGAAAATCATCACAGGCAATATATTCTGTACCTCTATCAGTTCTCAAGATTTTAATTTCATAACCACTCTGCTTTTCAACAAAAGCCTTAAATTGTTTGAAAATATCACATGCTTCAGACTTTTGCTTCAGAAAATAAACCCATATTTTTCTACTGAAATCATCAATGGCGGAAGCAATAATTGAATCTGTAACTGTTAGATATATTAAATATAATATATTTAATATAATATATATTAAATATAATATAATATATCTATAATATATATTAAATATAATATATTTATATATTATATTTATATATTGAGAAGAGAGAGAGAGAGAGAGAGGAAAAATAACTCTTTGAATTGATGATTAATGAATGAACAATAGTAACCTATTTATACTAAAAGATAACCACTAATAAAGCTAAAGACTAGGAGTAATGCTCCATGTAAAGCTACAATTAAGGCCACAATCTATGTAGTGATACCATGCATAACCCACCTACTGCATCCATGCATTATTCATAACAAACTAATTTAATACTTGGTTTAACCATTACTAATAATAATAATATTATTATTATTATTATTATTATAACATTACCTTAATGTGCGTTTAATATAATGTGGGTTTATATATGTCCCTGTAGTCAAAACAAATAAAAAGAAGAAAAAAAAAAGTTAATTGTACTAGAAAAATCACGTGTGTGGCAGAGGCAAGAATTGAATATGTAACTTTAAAATATATTAATTATATTTCACTCACTTAGTTACCTTTTCGAGACAGGAGATTTAAATTTCAATATGCGACAATATGCGTACTACTCACTATACAGAGTCGCTAGCAGCCACACAGATCGAGTCGCTCTGATCTGCATGAATGCTAGCAGCCACACATTTTCAATGGTAGATCAGCACGCAAAATTTTGATGGAAATATATACGACGACAAATTAATTAAAGCACATGGCAGAACTGTGCGTACTAATAATACAAATTAAATTATTGTACTAATTTACTTTAGAGAAACTTGTTGTATATAATATAACCACAAATCAATTAACTTACCCATGCTTCTTATTATTCACACCAGGCCAGAAACATGCAACTTCTTCTCCAAAACCTTAACACTTCAATTATCGTTATATGTATAGCTATTGCTTTTTATGTAGTTTTTCATTATCTTGCAAACAGTAGCAAGCCACGGCGGAAGCAAAAATCACCGCCGGAAGCCGGTGGAGCGTGGCCTATTCTCGGCCACCTTCACCTTTTCAGAAGCG